ATTGCATAGAATTTACTGTAAACTTTCGACGGTAAACCATCAAACCATACATTTAACATCAAAACATACATTGCATTTGACCAAAAATAGTGCATAAAGAACAGAAGTGCTTCATTACATTATTGTACACTAAAAATCTATTTTGATAAAACCACATTTTAAACAGAAATAGCATTTTTATTGCTTTTAAACAGAAAGAAAGAAAAAAGAAACACTCGCGAGTTAGCGTTAACAAAATTCTAATTTTAGCGCGACACTAGCACGTTTCTTTAGCAAACACATGGTTTCGTGTGTGTGGGTGAGGTATCGGCGCGAACACGGCAAGGCACACAGCCACACGGCCTCTCTAGTTCGTGCAACTTAACACAATACATATTTCAAATTAGCTTTCGGACAGTGCAATTACTTCTTTACACCTTTCTGCATTAAAACTCACCAAGGCGACCCATATAGTTCAGCATAAATCATCTCCAGCCTGCCTTGTTCATTCTCAAAGTGCAAAAGACCCGGAGCTAATACGTAATTTGATCCACTGCTCGGAAAGCGGGACTAATATTGCTCTAGACAAATGAGATTATTATCACCCAACGTGACCGTGAAACGGAAAAAATAATAAAAGTTAGAGAGAGGATCACACTTCCTCATTTCAAAATAAAGTTCTTCAAAATAAAAGACTGCAAATGCATTGATACAAATAAAAGGGAGAAAAAGTGGGCCTTTCCTTTACTGGGTTACATAATGCCATGCACACTCAGATGTACATGCTTGAGGGTTGGTCCAGGTGGAGCATGAATAGAGCCCATGAAGCTGTGAGTGTGAGTGCTGAATCACACACTAAACTGTATGATGTCCAACCTGAATTCACTCAGCAACAGAGTCCTCTGTCATGAACTCTTGCCCGAATTTATTCCCCCTGGGGGACCCACTGGTAAGATGGAGACATCAATTTTACTTGCAACTACTACAAATAACACATTATAACATATTTAAGAGATAATCGTTTCTGTATTTTCGCAGTCATTTTGATGCATGTCTGTTCTTATAATTCAAAATATCCTTTTTCCCCTTTTGAAATGTTTCTTCATGGCAGGTGAGCATATTGCAGTGGAGTATTTATTTGCTCAGTCTGACAGAGGTGACCTGCTGGCTCCACAACAGCACAGGGAACTTGGCATCATTCTGCCTGAGCTGCAGATTGAAGTTCAGGAGGAAGAGTGTCTTGATGTCACGATAAGTGATGTAGCTGACATTGTCAGTAGGAGTCCACCTGAAGCCCCCCAGTTTGAAGACGAATTGAACACTTCAGCCAATCACAGTCCTTTCCCCCATGGTGATTCAGCCAGCTCAGCATCATCCTGACCACTTGATGATCATCTTGTCATTGAAATTTTACAGGAAATGTCATTTATTAGTCCATGCTATCAATTATTATTATTGTTATAGCTGTGATTTGTATTTTTATGTTGCATGCCTATAGACCAGTGAATTCTTACAGAGGGAATTTTATATTCTAATGATATTGTTTTTCATAATTGTTTCTCCCTTGCAAATTTACAGGAGACATATCATGAAGAAAGCAGTCTCTTTAACAGTCCTCTCAGTCCAGGAAGAAACATACTTACTGAGGACAGTTCCTCTTGTGGACCTAGTACATCATCTCAGGCAATGTGTTTAAGAACTTATTTCATCCTGATTAATGATTAATGTTATCTGTTATATATTTCCGGTGATTTATATGATAATTTTGACTTATATAAAGTGTCTATGAATTTCCGGAAAAGTGCTTTGGTTTTTTATCTTTCAGGATAGCCGATGTGATGCCAGAGGTGTTCCAAGATGGGACGCAGTTGATAACTTGGTGAAGTACCTTGTCAATCTGAACCACATGATAACTGCCTTGTCAACCACAGAGACAGCTGAGATTGTGCAGCTATATTCCAGTCTACATGCCATGGACAAGGCTCCCTCCAAGTATACACTAAAATGTAAGAAGACAACCTTGCCAGGGCCGTGGAGAGCGTCCAGGAAACGTAGTCAACAAGCAGCTGAAAGGTGACCTCACCTCGAAAGGATGCACACATTGTGTAATTTACACGTATCATAAATCACATGTTACATTTAGGTAGTATCACACAAGCAGAGTCATATTATTATGTATGTGTTTTAACTTTTTTGTAGGAGATTCAAACAAGAAGATTGCTATAAACAGTCAAACTGTCAAGTGGGGTTATACAGTATATCATGGTTCATACAATGATTCACACACTTTAATTAAATTGGTGCAACTCTCTGTTGTACATTGAGTACACTATTTTGTCTTCACAGACTATTCTTGACCCATGGTCAGGCTGCCCAAAGACCTGATACCAACAGAATTTCAGAGTGTGTTTCCCTCAGGCTTTTGAAGGAGTATCAGCAAGGGAGAAATAGGCCAAAAGACTGCAAGGGCAACACCTTACCCATTCCACAGTCCATTGTACAAACATACTGTCACATTAAACAACTGCTTGAAGACAGCCGGGTGATACAGGACCAGACGAACTTGGTACTCGTTACCATTAATACCACTACAGTGTCTTCTTAGTGAGATGTTTTTGATTTCCTCCATGCACTGAGTGGTATTTAATTATTTGAACATAATCAGATTTAACTTGAAGAATTTTTGTATTTTCACCAGGTTATATGAAAGACAGAAGAGGACAGACCGTGAATCACTCCTGCAAGGAGTACAGCTTCCCCAGAAGGTCTCTGCTACAAAGGATTCCTGTGGAACATGGACATGTAGCCATGGAGTTCCAGGAAACAGAATCAGAATCAGAATCAGAATCA